GAACTTTTGAGGATTTTTAACATTTAAAACACTATTCCTTTTGCTCAAAGTAACACTTGCAAGTTCCACTTGTACGAAAAGTAATATAATTGCTTAAACACTTTTGTAAACATTTCTCATGTCAATTTCATGAAAATAGAATATTCATGAATTTGAGCAACTAAATATTTTTTTTGTCAAATTGAACTCTTCAATAAATGTGTTTGAACAGTAAAGTTGAAATTACATATTTTCAATAAGCTCATATACTAAACAATATTTAGCTTGTAAAAGATAAATAGCTATCAACGATTCAAATTTGTTAACAATCTATTCTACTTATAAAAGAGAGAATGAGTGTCAAAACTTTTGAATGCCCCCTTTGCCCTTTACAATGTTTATTATTCCCATCAAATCCAATCCAATCCAATTTTGATTTAAATTAAATTAATTAAATTAATTAAAACAATTTCTTCACTATAAGTATTGATTTTTAATTTGTTTCCTTATTCTGATTATTCTAATTTCTTATGTAGTTTTCCTATTGAAATTATTTTTTATTTTAGTTAATATGTTTTTTTAGTTTCTTATTCTTTTAATGTAGTGATTATTGCAGGGATTTCTGTTTGGTGGGAGAACCCATCTATCAAGGTAATAGAGCATTTTTTTTAGTAACTCTAATTTAAGGTATTTTCTGCAGGAATAAAGCAAGTATGCAGCCTATCAAGAACTTTATTAGGAGCACCAATAATAAAATTAGGATGATAATGTGATTAATACCTCCTTTTCTGTTCTGTTTACTTAGCAGTCAATTAGAAAATATCTTGTCTAACTCAGGTTATCATCTAAGGAAAAAAAGATTAAAACTTTGTCCTTTAGTTTGTTATTGGATTAAGTAGAATTGCTAATTTCTAGAAGTTTTTCGTAAGGATTTTCTAAAAGTTTCAACTCTAGCTCTGTTCCCTAATTTTCACTATTTGCATAATTTATTGGGAGGTTAGAAGATAAGTAAAAGTAGAAAAGAAGTTTCTTTGGAGAGTGGCTAACTAGAATCATACGTTTTACTAAGCTTTATGATTTTTTTTGGAGATTAGGATGTTATTAGGAATAGGAGATTGCGATTGTGTTGGAAAAAATGAATGAATGTTTGCAAGTTATATTATTGAATTTAGTTTGAGTGCACTAATGAAATGAATCTAAAACTTTTCTATCATAATTTTCTAACTATTTGAACGTATGTTTTTTAAGTTGTTATTATTATTATTTGCGTTGATGGAATTGTTCTTTTTTTAATTTGTAAGATGGATGATTTGCAAGAACTTTTCTATCAGAATTTATTTTTATTACAAATTGTCGGCGAGATGATGACAATCTTTCTATAAGCCAATCCTAGCCTTAAGTGGGGCAATTTTTTTGTTCTACTTTTTACTAGGAAATAGAGTAAGGAGGGATAGGGTTCAATTTTAAAATACTTACTAATAAAATTTGTGACACATATAACACGCATGCCCAGAGGCATAGTTATGATCATAAGCTCACATAAGGTCTTCCTATTTTCTGTTTCTTTGAGGTACGGTTCTTTGGTGAATTTGGCAATTTTGTGTGATTTAGTGAAGATCAAGGTTACATATTTTATGAGTATCAAAATGTGTTAATAGGAGAAATTGTATTAGCAATTACATTGTGAATAGGTTTATTGTGACACCATTCATCGGTAATATTTTTAACATTGCTTTTGTTAAATTTGAGTCAACTTCTTAAACTGTTGGATATTACATTTTCCAAATAGTCCATTTACATACAATTCTCTTCGCCTGCCCACTTTATATGTGCTAAATTAAATAATAGAGTACATATATGAGATATAATTCTCAGCTATATTATTCATTATCCTGTATTTTTTCTTTATATATATATATGAAGTTTGAATTTGCTACTATCAACTCACGATCAGTTTATATTCTAAAATATTATTTTGTAAAATTTTTTACTAGAAATTATGAAATATACCAAGTAGAGAGTTTATATTGTATTAGATAATATATATAGGTAGCAGTACAAATGTTCTTTGTCATTTAGTTGTCCAGTTCAAATAATAAATGACAAAACTTTTATATTTGGGTTTTTAGCAAGTAGTTTTCTTAACAGAATTACTTTGAACCTTTATAGTGTAAAATAGTTGTCCTCTAACCAGTACAATTCTATTGCATGACCAGCTTAGGAAATTCCTTTTATTTGGCAACTTAATTCAGATTAATTTAGAGAGTCATCAACTGATAGTTCCATGGGGCTAAAAGGTTGGAGTTAAATTCACCAGCTTATGGTTGACAACTCATGTGACTTTATATGAGGTACTTTGTCTTTTTCCAAATCTGTTAATCTCGTATTATTATGAATCTCTAATGAAATGATTAAAAACAAGAGTACCAAGTTTACCAATCAGAACACATATGAAAAGCCAGCATAGTTGCTTAACTTTGTCCTTTTTAGTAGTTGATACAAACTCGGCTTATGAAATTGATGGATTTTGTAAGTTTTTCATTTTGAAATTAATGTATTGGATTTTGTAAGTCTTTCAAACCTGTCAATTTTAGGTTATCGATACTGTGGATCCAACATAAACTCGACATGTTATTAAGAATCAATGAACCATAAACAAATTTTATGGATGGATTATAAATGATTGAAAATGTTTAAATTTGCGTTACATCTATTTTGATCATAAGTTTTGTTTCTTGTTCCAGTTTGTAGATTCTTAAGTTTGTATGGGTAATTAAAACCTTATCGACTTAGTTAAATCTTCATATATTTGTCTTTCAGACTCTTTATCATTTTTTTTTTTTTTTTGCAAATATAATCAAAATCCTATTTGAAGCATTGACTAATACTTTCAGGTTAAACATGGTGTGAGATGACACATGGGTGAACTTGCAATCCAAATGGTTTTATTTGATAGGAAGGTTTATGACAATAATCATCCGTGCTTGGGGATAGATCAAAGGTAAATATAGTACATTTTCTGATAGGAAGGTTTATGACAATAATCATCCGTGCTTGGGGATAGATCAAAGGTAAATATAGTACATTTTCTGCTCAAACTTAACAATTTCTTTAAACAGCGTGCTTGGGGATAGATCAAAGGTAAATATAGTACATTTTCTGCTCAAACTTAACAATTTCTTTAAACAGTTTTTATAATTTTTTATTTCATTTTATTCTTAGGATGCACATTTCCTCACCGATTTTATGATCTTTGAAAAAAAATGTATAATGATCTACAATGACTTTATAGATGGAAGTTAATCAATTTAGTAGTAGCGTCAACTCTAAGGAATGGGTGTACCTGTAAAGTGTGTTTTCCTTGATGATATTTTTCTTACTTAATATGGCTGGTTCTTTTAGTACACACTCTACGCTATGATCAAGTTATACAAACGAATAAACAAGAGATAGTTATAATGTATATGGATCTATGAATACATCATGATTTGAATGAATTCGAGTTTGTTTATATTTTAATCTTTACTAAAGTTCTGCTAAATATAAGTTTGGATTAGTTTTTTCAATCCTGGATCTATTTTGGTTTGATTTCTTGAGCATATGATTTCATGAGATATATTGGACCTACTATTGAATTTAAGAAACATTGTTTACTGCTTGTTCCAAATTGGATTGCCGAAAATTATTGTCTATGTCTCTCTTTTTATTTCTCTCTAACATCACTTAAGTTGGAATAAATAATGATAAATTCAAAGCAATTTATAAGGATGAATCTAAAATATTTTTTGTACCATCCTAATAAATGCTCTTTCTATTTTCAACAATGGATCTTTTCATAGGAAAAAAAGTATTTTCCATTGATTTCCATTAGAAACAACAAGGATCAGATCTAAAGCAAGAGTTATTGAAGCTACTGCGTCTGCATCTAAGGCCAATGTCAAAATCAAGACAACTTTAACTTGTGGACTTCAAACATGCAGATGTGTATATGATTCAAACAAAATGTGTAAATTGCAATATGACACGTTCTTGAATTCTTGGAGATAGCTAATTGTCTTAGAGTCCCTTCCACCATATGAAAACTTCAAAATTATAAGGAGCGTTAAGAACTTTCATACTAAAATTCTCTCATATGTCAGGCTTTCTTTCACTGGATTGAACCTGAGGTATTTTATGCAATGGTACATCTTTTATAAATTTGTTTTAAATGCATGCTTGATATTTTTTTAAATATAACTTGCTCAGTTGCAATGTGAGTTAGGAGTTATAATTTCATATTTTTATAAAATGTCATGTCAATATATGTAGGATGATGGACTGTTGAGATCAAGGAGACGCCCAACTGTGAGGATGATTATCATTAGTTGACAAGGGGTTCATTTTCTTATTTATAACCCCTTTTAAGTGTTTGTTTTCCTTCTTTTTATAGGATGGTGAAGTGATGAATGGATATTGCTTGTCTTTTGCTGCACATTATGATTTGTTCAGTGGTTTCAAATTACGCGTTGCCATTAATTTGGCATATGAAGCTTCAAGTTTTTTTGTTACACGGAATTCTAACACCTTCACTTTTATCTTTGTTTTCCAAAGTTTTCTCTTATTTTTATCATTTTCTCCTCTTTTTTATCAATAGAGCTGCAATTATGTTTGCTTTCAACAAGAATGTCTAAGTGATGATGTAACTGATGTCATTACAGTCTTTCTTACTTTTGCGATTTATCTGATTTAAACGTGTTTAGTAGATGTTATTTGGATATGTATATTATTAGTATTTGTTCTATATGAGCTATATGTTCAATAAATAGTCTTAAAAATGGTGCGCAAAATATGATTTGATCTTCAAATGCCTCACCTTTTATAGTTTCTTAACATGCATCACGTGCAACGCGCGTGTTGCATACTAGTTACTATAAATGAACAGAATAACATGTCTGATCCACAATTTCTCTACACAAAAATAAAATTATCATTTAAATAATATCTAATTGATTAAAATAACTAACGAAAAGAAATCAAATCACCTTTAGAATTCTGACAACACTTTGGAGAATAGTACTTCAAGAATCTATTCCTCGATCAAACCTATAAGCATACAATATGCATAAATACTAAAGATTTCTAAACATAAACTATTCTGGGTATGAAACTAATATTTCTGGTTTTAACGAACTTTTCTAAAAGTTTGTTTCTCTTTCTTTTAAAGCAAAACTTGGGCCTTACAACAAAATTTTCTAGTCTATGGGCTAAGATTAATATTCCACAACTAGTTCTCACAGGAACCTCTCTTTATAAAGTCTTGGATTTAAAACTAATTTTCTACAATTTAAGGTCTTATGAATATTGTTCTAGAGCTACTCTATCTTTTGGACTAGAAATTAAATTTCAAACACGCAAGGGATCAATGTAAAACTTTTTGTTTCTTCTTCAACGTGATGTCCACTCTCTGTTTTCTCACTACACCAGAACCCACCCAAGTCGGGGCTGGGATAGGTGGTCATGGTGACCACCATGGGTGAAACACTAATCCATGGGATGACCGGAGGTCACTGGATATTGTCGGAAGCGACACTAATGGCCGGAAAAGGTTTTTTATTTTTTATTATCAAACTTAAACTAGAAAACCAAAAAAAAAGGCATACCTTTAGCTGAAACTTCTTCTCCTCTCTGACTCCAAAAAGCTATTTCTTTTCACTTTCCTTTTATATGTAATGTAAGAATCAAAGAGAGCTCCTCTTCTTATATATAGGGTTTTCCATGACCTTTGAGTCCTGTAACTCCAACCATCATTCGTTCCTAATTAAATAAATTAAAAAGCCCAATAAGAACCCTAATACATTATTTCAATTAATAAGACTTTTGACTTTTTTTTTTTTGAGAAAACTGGTTCACTACATATTAAGAAAAGCCTCCTTTTTGGTCTTTTTGAGCCATAGTTTTAGAACTCCAGAATTGCCCTCACACATGAAAGGCTAAATTGTAAATTGCTCTTATTACAGTTGAATAAATCAACTAAGATGCTCTCACACTAACAAAATCAAAAGGAATGTTCACACGCTTGAAACAAATCGCAGAATATGCCCTCAAACTTAAACAATTAAAAAAACTCAACGTAAATGCATTTAAAACTGTTAGTTTTCTTAACAGTTCGACTACGACAATTCTCCAAGTTTGACATCATGCACATGAAGCATGTACCGTTGTACTAGTAAATACATAAATAAACCCCAAAAAAAGTGAAAACCAAAAAAGAACCAGCAGCTCTCTGTTCACATTCCGATCCTATATGTTAGACTATAAAACTATAATCTTCAACCTCACCACAATTTCGAAGTTTTGGTATAATAGTATGTTCAAATCCCACTAGGCACAAACTTAAAAGCCGATTAAAAAAAATTGATATCGCTACATGAGTCCACATTTCAGCCTATAGAAATGGGTACTCAACTTGCAAGGTCATGTTAGAGCATAAAACTATAATCCTTTACTCTGACCATAACTTCGGAGTTTTGTGTAGTGGAAGGGTCTTTGACACAATAGGATACGACTAATGAAGGAAATTAGCCTTACTATTACAACTATGAATTCATTTCCTCACTCCCTCTATCTAAATAATGACCATCACATTAAAGTATATTTTAGTAGATATTGACCTTATGTAGGCTCGTAAATGATTTGGTAGACGCAACTAGGAAGGGATAATATACATAGTTAAGGGATGTGAGTTAGATAGGGGTCACCATCCGTTGCACTTGTTCATTCAGATCGCGTGTACTGAATCATAGCACTTGAATTAAGGGATGGTATCGGGAGGGGAATGGGTTAATGGGGGCAAATCAATATTCATTACTTTTCGCATTTGTTGGTAGGTCTATAAATATTGGGACAACACAGTTTCATCTGACGGGTCCCAATAGTTACCAAGGGGTACCAACTTCTTGTAATACCATCATATAGGAATGAACATGGCTTATAAAAATTGGTGTCACCTCGACACATGCCTTGTTTCATCTTTCGATTTGTTATTATGATACTTCTATTTGGCCTAAGCATAGTATAGTCCTTAATTTCACTCTAAATACAAAATACACTCCAAAGTCCCCAAAAAAAAGATACAAAAGATATTTACATTGAAAAAAAAGGATACTATGCATTTTAAATCAAACACTCGTGGTACTACTCTCAAACATCACATGCAAAATTGATGATCATCAGCTAACACATACAATTTCAGTGGTTGTCTTTGCCCTTTTTTTCAATCCAAAACAGATGTATTTTAGGGTAATACAGTGAGAGGAGTCAGGACTAAATGGATCAGCGCAACTAAATGATGAGGCTACATGATTGATTTTCCTAATAAAATATGAAAATGAACAAATAAGTTACAGATACTTGCACGAGAATTAAAGAATATTACTTTCATTGTGGAATATTCAAAATATGATAAAATAAAATATCAGCTTGAAAATGACATTTTCATACGCTTTCTAAGGACCTGTAATTTTACTGAAAAAAAGGAGAATGTTTCTACATTTTGGGCATTTTCTTTCTCTTCAATATCCAAACTAGTAATAGTTAGTGCAAGATAGACATACCGAGTAGTAATCATATATGTTTGCAAGCCTTGCCCTTGATCGGCATGCTGCACAATGAACAGTTTCATCCTGATCTGTGAACATCTGTCAGGTGACATTCTGGAGTTTTATTCTCTCGGTAGGTACTTGGTATCGACCTCATCTTCTTTATGTGGGTTCCAATATATATACTGATGTATCTCTTAAATATTCCATAATTAGCGCAATTAAGCATGTCATAGATGAAATCCATGTCTAAAACTCCATGGTTTGAACACTTGAGGCGAACATTGAATCTGCCCTACCAGTAATCATTACAAGAACAGTGACCATCTCGGAAATGGTGGAAACGGCTGCGATCTCTAATGATAATCAACCTATTGTAAACACTGGATAATACCTTTGCGAAGGTATGGCAATCAACACAAATTCGAAGGTTATTTGCAATTCTAACTGATGTCCCAGGAGGAGTTGCAAGAATCCCAAAAGCAATTGCCAGCTTTTCACTATGAAATGATAGGGCACTCTCCTTCTCTTCCACATCCATATTATGCAACTCAGATGACATATTTGCAACATAGCCGGCAATTTTTAATTGTTGGCTAATCTCATCAAGCATCTTATAAATCTCAGCCTTTCTCGGGTGTGAATCATCATCGACAATAAACTCATGAACCTCCCCCTTCAGTTCCATTGTACTGCACCCTGGAGTTGTTTGAATTCCCTTATCCTTCATCAACCTCCTCACATCTGCTACCTTGTCCCAATTACCCACTGAAGCATAGATATTGAGTAGCAACACGTAATCCCCAGCTTGCTGTGCTTTCAACTCAATCAGGTGCCCAATCACCCGTTCACCAAGCTCAACATGGCCATAAATTCTACAAGCCCCAAGCAAAGTCCTCCAAATTGTGGCATCCGGCTCAACCCCCATTTCACTCACTATAAATTGGTATGCCCCATCCAGCAACCCTGCACGACTCAATAGATCAACAATGCACCCATAATGACACACATTAGGTACCAATCCATAGTCATATTTCATCATATTAAAGAACTTTAATCCATCATCGACTAGCCTACTATGACTACAAGCAGATAGCACCCCAGTGAAGGTCTGCTCATCGGGAGCGACACCCACTCTACGCATCTCTAAAAAAGCTTCGATAGCATCCTTCCCATACCCATTCATCGCCAGACCTGAAATCATTGCACTCCATGTGACCACATTCTTGTCTTGCGTATTGCAAAACACACTATAAGCCTTATCAACAGACCCGCACCTCGAGTACATTGCTATAAGAGAATTCCTAAGGTTTAACGCACCAGAATAATCTTTGTCCCGGATGTACTCATGTATTCGCTCCCCAAAATTAAGCGCACCCAAGTGAGCGCACACCTGAAGTAGAAGCAAGCAAGTGACGTCATCCGGCTCCGACCCATGACACGGTTCTTGCATCACATCAAACAGCTTCATCGCATCCTTGCCACGATGGTTGTTCGTGTAGCAAGAAATCAAGACATTCCACGCTACGGTGTCTCTTTCAGGCATTTCAGCGAACACCCGAGTGGCGTCACCAGTGTCTCCACACACTGCGTACAAACCCATCAAAGAGGTAAGCAGCAAAGAATCTGAGTGATGCCCATCTCGCAAAATCTTAGCATGAACCTGTTTCCCACAGGAAATAGATGAGAACTTGGTGCAAGTCTTGAGAACGAATGAGCAAGAGAAAGCATTAGGCAGGATGCCGCATCGATACATGTCTCTATACAAGAAAACGGCTCGTTCAGAAGGCATACTGCTCTGTGAGTAGGACTTGAGCATAGAATTGTAGTGATATACGTTTGGGTTTTCGATCTGCTCGAATACGTGGCGAGGGTAGTCGATGTTGTCATGAAGAGGGGCACGAGATAAGAAGGCGTAGGAGAGTGATGGGTCTTGGAAGAGAGAGGCTCGAAGGAGTTGGGCGTGGATTTGGAGGAGATGGGTTTTTGAGCTGCATGATTTTATTATCAATGGAATCGAGCTGTTCTTTAAATGGGTCTGGTGGGTTTGTTGAATTGGGGAATTGTGGAAGAGAGAGAATGAGGGAGGAGAGAGGAGGAGATGAGAGTTTGGAGGAAGGAGAGCGGAGGATTTTGAATGGAGACGAGAGAGAGCCATTGAGATTCTGATTGAGCTTCGGAGGAAGAATGTTAACGGCCAACCTTTAATTTTATTTTATTTTTTTAATTCCCATCCAGAATTAAAGACTCATGAGTTCAGGGACCCTTAAATATACATGGGGATAATTATCCCGAGCCCCTCCCTCTTTCTCACATTCTTTAATAAGAAGGGAAAAATATGTCCAGGCCCCAAAAATAGAAACTTCATGTGACAAGGCCCCTCATAATTTTTCCTATGTAGATCAGCCCCTTGAAGTGTGACACTTTGTACTACACCCCCTTTTTAACAACTTGTTAGCTTTTTTATTCTACGTTATTTCTAGCTTCTATTCTCCTAGTTCTAGCTTGTATACCCCCAGTTCTACCTTCTATCTTGCTAGTTCTAAACCCAACAAGGGTTTTTTACATGCACACTTGCTAGTTCTTTATTCTACGTTAGTTCTAGCTTCTATTCCCCTAGTTCTAACTTGTATACCCCCGGTTCTAGCTTCTATCTTGCTAGTTCTAAACCCAACAAATGTTTTTTACATGCACACTTGCTAGTTCTTTATTCTACGTTAGTTCTAGCTTCTATTCCCCTAGTTCTAGCTTGTATACCCCAGTTCTAGCTTCTATCTTGCTAGTTCTAAACCCAATAAGGATTTTTTACATGCACACTTGCTAGTTCTTTATTCTACGTTAGTTCTAGCTTCTATTCCCCTAGTTCTAGCTTGTATACCCCAGTTCTAGCTTCTATCTTGCTAGTTCTAAACCCAATAAGGATTTTTTACATGCACACTTGCTAGTTCTTTCTTCTACGTTAGTTCTACCTTTTATTCCCCTAGTTCTAGCTTGTATACCCCCAGTTCTAGCTTCTATCTTGCTAGTTCTAAACCCAACAAGGGTTTTTTACATGCACACTTGCTAGTTATTTATTCTACGTTAGTTCTAGCTTCTATTCCCTTAGTTCTAGCTTGTATACCCCCAGTTCTAGCTTCTATCTTGCAAGTTCTAAACCCAACAAGGGTTTTTTACATGCACACTTGCTAGTTATTTATTCTACGTTAGTTCTAGCTTATATTCCCCTAGTTCTAGCTTGTATACCCCCAGTTCTAGCTTCTATCTTGCTAGTTCTAAACCCAACAAAGGTTTTTTTTTTTCATGCACACTTGCTAGTTCTTTATTCTACGTTAGTTCTAGCTTCTATTCCCCTAGTTCTAGCTTGTATACCCCCAGTTCTAGCTTCTATCTTGCTTGTTCTAAACCCAACAATGGTTTTTTACATGTACACTTGCTAGTTCTTTATTCTACGTTAGTTCTAGCTTCTATTCCCCTAGTTCTAGCTTGTATACCCCCAGTTCTAGCTTCTATCTTACTAGTTCTAAACCCAACAAGGGTTTTTTACATGCACACTTGCTAGTTCTTTCTTCTACGTTAGTTCTACATTCTATTACCCTAGTTCTAGCTTGTATACCCCCAGTTCTAGCTTCTATCTTGCTAGTTCTAAACCCAACAATGGGTTTTTACATGCACACTTGTTAGTTCTTTCTTCTACGTTAGCTCTAGCTTCTATTCCCCTAGTTCTAGCTTGTATACCCCCAGTTCTAGCTTCTATCTTGCTAGTTCTAGCTAGTTCTAGCTCTAATTCATCTTAGTTCTATGCTCTTGGGAACGGAGAAAAGCTCCTCCTACCTCCGACAGAGCCCACCGAGACACCCCGATGATCCCGACAACCTCCTCCCACCTCTGGTAAGCCCGGACAGCGACGAAAATCTCCGAACAGCGAAGAATAAACCCGAACGGCGAGAAATTGCACTGCAGAAAACTATAGTTTTGTGCCGACTTCGCACGCACTTTCTGATCGCCTCCAATCTCCGTTTCTGCCGATTTCTTCTTTGGTGAGTAGCCCTACATGTTGCCTATCACCTTCAATTTGTATCACGCTCTAACTCATTCTCTATCTCACTCGGTAACATCCGAAACATCGCTAGACGGCAGCAGCAAGCAGAAAACAGCAGCGCCGTGCCGACTTCGCGCGTGTTTTACGGCCACCTCCAGTCTCCATTTTCACTACCGTCTGCGCCGGTGTGTAGCCCTTTATATTGTCTATCACACGGTATCTTCCTTTCATTTGGGCTCATTTTCTACCTCTTGTTATATTGCTTCGAATATCGCTTGGCGGCACCGTGGCAATTTCATTCATAGAGATACATTAATACACATTTTCGTTCTTTCTTAATTACGACATTTCTCTTCATTCCCCTTCTACTCTACTTCTCCTTACCTTTCTTTTTTCTTTTTTACTTTTCTTCTTCTACCTAATAGATTAATGCTCTATGCGTCTCGGCCAGGACGACGAGCTTGAGAAAGCTCTTAGTTTTAGAGAGAGGTGAGAGAGAGAGAGAGAGGAGATGAGAGAGAGAGAGAGAGGAGTGTTCGCGGGAAAAATTATAGCTTTCTTCATTGAATTCATTGTTCTTCTCAAGTAATCGTTTATCGGTTACAAAAAGATCCGATCTTTTTATAAGATCCGGTTACAACGAAATCAAAGAAAAAGAAATAAAAAAAATTACAACTTTTCTCTTTTATCGAACGAATCGCGAGCTCCTATTTTGCGGTCACTCGCTTGTGTGGGTTCTTTGCCTACGCCGGGGTTTATCCGTGGACCACCGCGCGATCTAGATCCGGTCGGATCTACGCAGTATGACGGGTGTTATTTCACAAAGGAAATAACAGCCGAGGGTACTATTTCGCCAAGGAAATAATAGCCTTTAGTTCTCGGGATCAAAGGCCAAGCTTTGATCCGGAGGGAAACTACGTAGATCTCAGATCTGATCTCTCTCGAAATCCTGCCTTATTTGGCGTGGATGATCGCCAAGATCCAGATCTGATATCTCCAAGTCCTCAAAGTTCCAAAGCTTTAATCTTTTTAAATTTTGAGCCTTCAATCCAGCAGGGCTTCGCCTCCAAAAGTTCCAACCCTTTACAAATGAGCCACCCTCCTCTATTTATAGGCAAATGAAAGCGGATCTGGGCCCAGATCTGGGCCCAGATCTGCCCGTGGCTCGGCCACCGAGCCACCCGGCGAATGGATGTATTCCATTGTTTGCGTGCGGTTCGTTAGCCTCGTCACTTTGTTAATTCGCTTCGTTGCGTGTCACTTGGCTTCGGCGTTGTGGACTGACGCTCGTGTTCGGATATGTCGCCCGATGGTTCGTTGGTTTGTTGAATCACCATGCCGAGCTGTGTTAAGGGACCTATAAGCAGTTTTATACGCCTACAGATACCCCCTCCAAAGTATTTCAGCCTCGTTCTTATATAGAAGAGTCTGGAATACTTTGGATATGATTATCCCAACCTTCAGTCGGTGTAACGGGACTTTGGAATGACTTCTGTTTTTTATTCTTTCAATCCTTCAGGCTATTCGGTGCTTTGTCGAATGTCTGTAAGTGTTCTGGTGCTGCATTTATTATCTGACTGTTGTCGGAATTCTGAACTTGAAGTCGATTCCTGATTTTCTGATCTTTAGCTCGTGTTTGTTGGTTCAACATAGAAATAACCATCGATCGTTGACGTTGAGTCTTTATTTGCGACGCGTTGTCCGACGTAGTGTTGTTGAGTTATCCTTAAGAATATTTTTAGAAAAATATTCTCCAGAAACTTCTCAACCAAAAGTAGGAAATATTTTATACTCGTATACCTTATTGGAGTATCAGGAACAGTTTATACTCGTATACTTTTCGGAGTATTAAGAAGCAGTTTATACTCGTATACTTTTCGGAGTTGTGATTCTTTCATTGCAACGCATTGATCGGCGTTGACCTATGGTTACGCGTTGATCGGCGTTGACCCTAGGGTTTCGAACGTCGTACGTTGACTGTTTGATCGCAACGCGTTGACTGGCGTTGACCTAGGGTTACGCGTTGACCAGCGTTGGCCCTAGGGTTTCGAACGTCGTACGTTGACTTTTTGATCGCAACGCGTTGACTGGCGTTGACCTAGGGTTACACATTGACTGGCGTCGACCCTAGGGTTTCGAACATCGTAGGATGCTCAAGTCACGAGACCAACTAATGAAGCTGATGCGTCAGTGACTCTCGTATTTATAGGATTTTTGGCAAACCCTCAGCCATCAACGGGTTTGATAAGCCTTTACCGACTACCGTTTGAGTCGGGCTAGCATGCGGATTATCTAAATCCGTTCCGCATTTGACGTTGTGCTAAGAGAGTTAACGCTCTTAGTGCTACGATATTGAATACATAGACTTCATCTTTCTCACGGGAATAGACTACCCGGCGACGCGTGTTAGGCATTGACTTTAGGATTTTTGGCTAACCCCCAGCCTTCAACGGATTTGATTAGCCTTTACCGACTACCGTTTGAGTCGGGCTAGCATGCGGATTGTCTAAATCCGTTCCGCATGTAACGTTATGCTAACGGAATGAATTCTCCGAGACTTTGTGCTATGATGTCGAATACATAGGCTTCGCCATTGTTACGGGAATAGGCTACCCAGTAACGTGTATTAGACGCTGACTTATCCCTACTTAGGCTTCGGGATAAAATACCCCAGAATCGAACTCTGATGTCTTCTTCTACGGAAAAAGACTAAACCGGCGACGCGTGTTAGGCTTTGACTTTAGGATTTTTGGCTAACCCCCAGCCTTCAACGGATTTGATTAGCCTTTACCGACTACCGTTTGAGTCGGGCTAGCATGCGGATTATCTAAATCCGTTCCGCATGTGTGTTCTTTTTAACGGTTAAGAACTAACCGGCAGCGCGGGTTAGGCGCAGACTTATCCCTGCTTAGGTTTCAGGATAGGATACCCCAGAATCGAACTCTGATGTCTTTTTCTACGGAGAAAGACTAAACCGACAACGCGTGTTAGGCGTTGACTTATCCCTACTTAGGATTCGGGATAAAATTCCACGTACCTGTGAGGCACAGATTTTAGGAGTTAAAAAAGGTGGTGTCTTCTCTTGGGGCAAAGACGAACCCGAAATAGGAGATGACGAATTTTATATTCTATCTCCCGACACTAAGGAAGAAGAATTTTATGTTCTATCTTCAGCTGGAAAGGAGA